GTTGTTGTGCATGTGTTTGCATGTGTTGATGAATGGGATTGTGGAAAGGAAAGGGTGAATGATTATGTGGCTAAATTAAAGAATGCAAAGTGAATGAATATTGAAATAGGAAAGCATGAACAAGGTGGAAATGCATGTGATGTGTAAAAGGGAAAGCTGAAATTGTGATGGAGAGCCACGGCATTGATTGGATTTGTGGTGGGTGGATGAAAGAATAATGTCAAGGTGTGGGATTGTTAGAGGGGGAAGTGCATGTGAGTGGCTGATTTGAGTGTTGGGAAATCATGTGAATTAAAGGGATGAAGGTGGCTGCAATGATGAAGTGTGATGGTTGAAAATGTGTAAAGGAAATCACTAAGGGGACTCACGGCAAAGGAGATGTTAAAGGGGTTGAGTGTGTTGGAAATGCATGTGATGTATGTCAAGGTTGGAGAAAAGGTGTGATAAGTGATAAGTGATAAGTGAATGGTATGTGGTGAGTGATAAGTGAATGATATGCTAAGTGAGTGATAAGTGAATGGAAGTGATAAGTGATTGGTTTGATAATTGATAAATGAATGATATGCTAAGTGATAAATGAGTGATATGTTAAGTGATGATAAGTAATGATAGGTGGTTATGATAGTTTGGTTTTTAATTTCGTCCATTCCTTTTGCTCCAAATATAAGCTATCCAATCCAAGTCCGATTTTGCTCCAAAATGCTCCAAAAGGCATCCTTTTGCATACCTTGCCCTTAGAACCTGAAAACACACAAAAGAAGCATAAAGGACTAAAATAACTAGAGAAACATAACGTAAATGCACGAGAACAAGCCATTTAAGTCGCATGAATATGCTCCTATCATCCGTATAGTTTGGTGTCGATTCGACGTGCTTATACTCTTACAAATATAATCACGGTGACCGAATCGGGCGCCAACGATTTGTGAACTCGCAGAACTAGCAGCCTTGTCTTCAGGCTCTAGAACCCGAAGACTGAGAGTGTTCCTTCCTCGGTCGCAGTCGCAAGGTAAAGAAGTCAGCAACGCGCTCAACGCAACATCAACAAATTCTACTCCTCGACCGAACTTGGCCGACGAGTTGGCACGCCCCGCATTCAACCGAATGACTTAGTTAGCTTATTAGTTACTCGACCTGCGTGCCGCGTACGTTTTGTAATTTTTAGGGTCAACATTATCATAAATGATTTTTGAAATTAACTCACTCTATCAAAATGGTTCCTAAAATTGAAAATCGATAAATGTAGTCCTCGAAATTGGGTGTCTCAAATCAATGTGGTACTTCCGTCACAATTCCGTAAAAAATTATGTTATGTGCTGATATGACACATACATGGGTCCTACAAATTTAATTAAATATTATTATGTGAATTAATAATATTTAAATAATACAATTTTTATTTTTATAACTAGCTGATTAACACACACTCTGTGTGTGTGAACAATTTCATTTTTTTTTTTGTTTTTTTATTAAGGAGTATGATTAGTTTTCAAAAATTTTAAAAAGAGTATGAAAAAATGATGGTGGGATAATTTCTCTTAATAAGTGCATATTTTATCTTAATATTACATAATTAATGTTTTGTCCCCCTTATGTAAATACTGTATATCAAAAGTGAGGGTCAAATAGGAAAAATAAGGATATGATTGTCATTTTATCAAAAGATACAAAATTACTATTTTGCCCTCCTTATGTAAGTATTGTGTATTAAAAGTGAGGGCAAAATAGAAAAAAAAAAGGGCAAAAGATACATAATTACTATTTTGCCCTCCTTATGTAAGTATTGTGTATCAAAAGTGAGGGCAAAATAGAAAAAAAAGGGCAAAAGATACAAAATTACTATTTTGCCCTCCTTATGTAAGTATTGTATATCAAAAGTGAGGGCAAAATTGGAAAAAAAGTGACAAAAAGTTGACAAGAAGGGTTCTCTTAATAATAGTATAGATTAAAAGCTAAAAAATAAAAAAAATAAAATAATCACCACCCAATCAGTAAAAAAAAAATGGAGAGCTTCAAAGCAACTTCAACAAACCCAGTCGTCCTTCTATTTCAGGTCTTTCTCTCTTTCTCTCCTCTGCTTACTGTTTATGTTTTTTGTTCTTCTGGGTTTTTGGTTTAAGGGTGTATGAGAAATGGTTGTGGGAAAAAAACTTAAAGTCTCAAAATTTGTGGAAGTGTACAGATTTTCAGTAGTAAAAAATGGAGGAAGATTCTCTTCCTTCTTAATCTCTCTTATCTTTCCTCTGCTCCTACTTGAACGATTATGAATAAGCCACGTTAACATCTCATATTGAATTTTTTTTTTCTTTTTTTCAGAGACAATAAGAAAAAAAGTAAAGTGGTAAGGGAGAAGAGGGAAGGCTTGGAAGGAAATGAGACTAGGAGGGGAGAAGATCCTACTCTGTAAAAGATAACCTAGTTGCTCTATTTTTTTTCAATGGTGTGAAAAAACAAGGGAGACAACAGCAATCGAAACCAAACACGTTTTGCGAATCTTGGAGAGCTTAAACAATCAGCTACTACCTTCCTTCATGACGACGTCACTCTAAAGATACTCACAACTTCACAGGGGAATGGGAGGGGCTGGATAGTGGTTGTAGACTTGTAGTGGGAGGGTGGGAAGGGAAGAAGATGATGAAGAATGTTCAATCATCTTCTTTTGTTTTTGTTTTTTTTTTTTTTGTTTTTTTTAGGGAATTGTTATTAGCACTTGAAAAATCTCATTCTACACTCCAAACTTTTTATATTAGGTAGACTTGGCATTCGTGTCGTGTTTCTTGTGTTCGTGTCATTTTCGTGTCATACTCGATAGCTTAACAGTCGTGTAGTGTAATACCCATTAAAGTAAACGGGTAATATGACCCGACCCAAAATCAACCCGTTAACATTATCAAATAATATGATCCGACCCATTATCCGTTAAGAAAAATATATTTTAAATCAATACAAATGAAAATGAAAAACATAATTTGACCCAAAAAAATGTAAAACATAATACTAAATTAGTAAATACATACTAAATTTTGGAGTTGACCCCTTCATGAAAATTGTAAAGCTTTTCATTACAAGTGATTACATTTTTCACACTTCTACAATAATTATTATTAATTTTGCGCTCAAATAAAAAACACTATTCATGAGATTTGGACAGTTTTAAAAATCTAAATAACCATGTAACCATCTTCTAAGCATTGATGATACAATTATGAACATTTATTATGCTTTCACATATTTCAAACTTATCCATTAATGATTATGAATTTTGTTTATTTTGAATTCCCTTAAAAATACTATTCATGAGAGTTTGTATGGTTTTAAAAATTCAAACAATCATATACCCATCCTCAAAGCGTAGATGATGCGACTACGAGCGTTTGTATATTTTTTCATATTTTTCACACATGTAAATTAATTATTATAATTTTTTTTAATGTGTTTGGTATTTTTAAATTACTTAATATTTTTATTTTTAATGTGTTTTATGATTTTTAATCTCAATCTTTATCTATAATATACTATAAAAATAAATAAATAAAACTTAAAATTTAAAATTTATATAGAATAATAATTAATAAACAATATATACATATTCATTATATCTATTGTATTTTATAATAAGTTTTTTTTAGTAGTTAAAAAAATTAAAATCATCAAAATAACTTTTTTCTTATCGTGTCGAAACAGGTTACCTGCGTGTCACTCTTGTGTAAACCTGTTAAGGACCCGTTATTAACGGGTTATTATTGTATGACCCGATTAGTTATCATGTTGACTCAAAACCCATTATTTTCGTGTCGTGTTAACGAGTCGTGTAAGAAATTGTCTGGTCTAATATTAGGAAAGAAAAATACACTTATGAGGAGTGTATAATGAGATTTTTGGAGTGCCAATAACACTTTCCTTTGTTTATTGAGTAAATTGTAGCAATGGTCCCTCAACTTTAATCAAATTGGAGCAATGATCCCTCAACTAAAAATCTATTACAATTGGTCTCTCAACTCATCAAAATGTGTAGCTATGCTTAGTCAAAATTTTGTTAAAATGAGTTATATTAGAAGGATCATTTTTACAACTGGGGTCCCTCATCCTATCAAAAAGTGTAGCTATGGTTATTTTCATCAACTTCGTCAAATTTTGTCAAAATGAGTTATGTTGGAATGATCGTTGCTACAATTGGATTACAGTTGAGGGATCATTTCTCTAATTGAATTAAAGTTGATGGACAAATGGTAATAAATTATTAGTTGAGAGACCATAACTGCACGTTTTAAAGAGTTGAGAGACCAATGATAATGAATTTTTAGTTGAGGGATCATTGCTCAAATTAAGTGAAAGTTAAGGAACCATTGCCATAATTTACTCTTTTTTATTTTTTATTTTTTAAGTTTTTAATTATAAAAAATAAAAAAATGTTTTTTATTCACATAATAATATTTAATTAAATTTCTGGGACCCATTTATGTGCCACATAAATACTTAACAGAATTTTTAACGGAATTGTGGACAACATTGATTTGCAAGAGCCATTTTCAGAGACTATATTGATCGATTTTTAATTTTAGACACTATCTTAATAAGATCGGTCAATTTCAAAAACCATTTATGATAAAACCCCTTATTTTATATGTGATTAATACATATTTATTTGAAAATATATGGTCGACTTATTATGGTTTTTTTGGAACGAGTGCACCAACCCATGAACTTTTTTTGATCAATAACGTATCATTACGTGCAAGTTTATTTTTATATAGCAATATATTATCCAATCGAAATGTTATCATAAGATTAACTCTTCTTATGTAAGTTGCTGTGATTCGAAAAGGGAAAGACGACTTAGGCACATAAACACGAGTCCAAAGGAACATATTTCCAATTTAATTTTTAATTTCTTTTCCCTTGGTGAACTCTGTTTGTGACTCAAGCAAATTCACACGAACCCCAATTCAAGGCCAATTCCAATTCCACGCCAATTCCGTCACGCCCCTAAAACTCTCGCCAATGTACTCATCCAAGTCCGGCCGAGTTGGCGGCGGCGGCGGCTCAGGACGCAGAGCCGGAGCCGCCAAGCCTGGCCGAGCCTCCTTCCCTCCGCCCCTCCGCTCCTCCGCCCAAACCAGCCGCCTCTCCCTAGGAGGCTCCAATCCCAGAGGCCGCAACTCAGGCTCCAATACGTCAGCAGCCGCCGCGCCGCCGGCCGTGGAAGAGCAGTTAAGTTTAGTCGCCGGGCGTAACCCACTTGCTTTCTCTGTGATCATTCGTATGGCGCCGGACTTGGTGGAAGAGATCAAGCGCGTCGAAGACCAAGGTGGTGCGCCCCGCATCAAGTTCGGTCCGTCGCCTAATAACTCCCTCGGCAATGTGAGTGTCTTGGGGTTATTTGAACTGGGGATTGCTTAAATTTTGCTAATTTCGTTGGGTTTTGGATTTCGTAGTGTTTGTGATTTGCTTGTGTGCGGCTCTGGGTTGTGTTTCAATTACGCATTGCTCAAGTTTTTCGGTATGGTTTTTCATGGAGAAGAAATTTTGGACTTTGCTCATCTCCTTCAACTTTTCACCAGGTTCTTTATATTTCTCTTAATTTTCAGGGGTATTTTTTCACTTGGGAGTATTGTGGCTTGTTTTTAATTTGAAGTTGTTCCTATATTTTTTCAACCGTCGGTTTGGTGTTGCTTGTATAGTTGAAATTTTGTTCCTTTTTGGGGCAATTTGTTACTCTTATGCAGAATTATTACTTTGTCCACTAATTTGGTTTCTTTGAAGTTATTCTTTTGGCAAGGTTGATGTTTTCGGAGTTTTTGCTATAGTTTACCTGCCCAGATAATAAAATTTGAGTTCTTTTAAGTCTCTCCATTGGAACATTTGGAAATTTTGTTAATACTAGTTAATCTAGATGCAGAGATTAATCTTAATGTTATCATTGTTTTGAATGGTCCAATATTGCTTCAGGTTATTGATCTGGGTGGGAAGGAGTTTACATTTACATGGGACCAGGAAGTTGGTGATCTCTGTGACATTTATGAAGAGCATGAAAGTGGTGAAGGTGGAAATGGTTTGCTGGTTGAATCAGGATTTGCATGGCGCAAAGTTAATGTGCATCGGATCTTAGATGAGTCAACTAAGAACCGTTTTAAACAGTGGTCAGAGGAAGCTGAGCACAAGAATAAATCCCGCAAGTAAGTAGTCTGATTGTCACTGTGGAGTTCCCTCGCTTTTTCATTATTCAATAGCTATAGGCATATTCTTTCTTCAGTTTCTTTTGCTTTGGCACAATTAAATATTTTTAACTGCATTTGCATTGGCTGCTTCAGGGAGGTTGCAATATAGAACACTATTTTTGGTGGTACTTAGTTGCTAATAGTATCTTCAATTGCCATCATTCTTGTGTAGTTCTGGTTGCCCATTAGTTGCATTATTTTTACTAAAATTAATTTGATGCTTTTTATTTCATGACTAGTTTCAAGACTTTTTTTTTAGTACAATTATCAGAAGGTTGAAGTCTGTTGTGTTGCAACCGTCAACTGTGTTATGCCTTTGAGTTGTTCCGACTGTTATCTTATCCATTTAATTTGTTTTTTGTTTCTGAAAACAGGGCCATTGTGTTAGAACAATGTACAGAGACGAAGAATCAGTTAAAGCAATATGATACTACAACTGGTAAGGTTTTCAATCTGAGTTTCATATATTTTCATATTTTCAGTATAATACAGTCAATTTCTTACTTGCCTAGAAGTTAGTAGTTTAGTGCGAAGTAGGAAAACACTGAACTTGAAATGTGTAATTAATGTAAAGTTTTCCACTATAGTCTACATTGCCTTATAAGAAAATCAGATTGAACTAGCTAGAAATGCACATGAGGATCGATAAATTTTAGCGCATAGTCTAAATTGAAAAACATTAATGTGTTATATGTCAATGAAAATTTTTAATTGTTTTTTTCTTCTGGTTTTGTTTAAACGGCTGCTGTTCGTATATGTTCAGTTAACTACTGTTTGCTACTTTTTTATTTTTATTGAAAGATTACAACTAAAACTACTGAACTGTTGGGTTTTTCCACCCCGTGATGAGTTGCCCTAAGTCTATTAGGAATTATAGTCTTAGAGGATTAAATTGTTTACCCAGTTGGAGTTGTTTTCCCAATTGGAGTTGGTTTCTCAATTGGAGAAGGATTCATAACTAGGTTCCAATTAGGATTAGTAATCCTTATTAAAGAACACCTTTATTGTGCAAAACAATAAGTTGTATACCACTCAAGGAGTTTGAATGAGAGAATAATGTAAGGGCAAAATGTGTGCAAGAGAAAAGAAAAAAAGGTAAGAGTGCATTTTTTTGTTCTTGTTCTTGTTCTTTCAGGTTCTCTTCCAAGTCTTAACACTAGAGGGTTGACAAGATTATTCATTGTACTCATTATTGATATAGTGAAAGTTTGTTGTTGCTGCTCCGAGGATGTAGGCGCATAGCTGAACCACGTAAATTCTTGGTGTTATTTATCTTTGTTTTTTTTTGTTTTCCATTTCCGAATTTTTTCTGTTTTTCCCATTCTTAAACGTGATATTCACAACATGAACTACATAACTAACGTATCTGATACCTCATTTGTTTCCAGCTAATCAACCTTGGAGGAATTTCAAACGAAAGAAAGAGCCCCCCTTTAAGAAGCAGAAAGTTGAACCGCCTCAAGGTGAGTGGAGCCTTGTAGAAGCTTTTATTTTCTAACCTTTTTTTCTTTTGGGGTGGTGGTCGGCTGTTTCTTGTGCCTTTTTGCACATGATGCTGTGATTCTCTAGACCCATACCTCTACTACCTAAATGATCCACAATTAGACACTTATCTTGTGCCACTGTCCATACAAGAAAAACTATTTCGTTGGAACACCCTAATATCAAGCTTCTAGGTTTCCTCTTATACTTCCCCAAGCTCATTACAATAAGCTTTTACATAAAAGTTCTCTTACAATTGCCCCATCTATTTAACCTTGTCACTATCCCCAGCCAAAGTAATCCTCATCACTATCCCTCTTCCCTCCTTTTCACTATTTTAAATTCTTTCTTCTTCCAGGCTTACAGCTTTGAAGTTGTTTTATTTGAGTTTAAATTTTTTATTGAATCGTCTATTTATTTGAATTTTCAGCTCCCCCTAAATCTACATTTAAAACTGGAGTGTCATCAACAACTACTGCAAAGGGTAAGTACTCATCATCACCTCTTCAAACTCCACCTGAGCAATCCGGTGCTCTATCATCTCCGTTAAGAACTAGAAATAATTTGAAGAGTCATGCAAGTGCGGAAGATATTATACCCTTTCAAGTGATTAAAAAAGACAAACCTGCTCCAAGCTCTGATAAAGAAATCCAAATCAGGACCAGTATTGCACCACGAGAAACAGTGGGCAAGGGCAATAGTGGAGCTAACGCTACAGATTTGCTGAGTATGTTGATTGCTTTGCTCACGGAGAATCCCAAAGGCATGAGAATAAAGGTATGAACTAATAAATGACATTTAATATATTTGATAATAGCCTTATGTCTACTGTTAAATCGTCCAATCTTATAAGGTCGTATTATGTTGATATATTTTAGACATGACATTATTCCAAGTGGACAAATTCCACTCTGTAAATGATATATTCCCAAACAGGACATATAACTCATCCCACCACTTCACATAATATGAGTGGAAGAGAGTTCTAGTTAACCTGATGCAGGATATCTAAGGGAACCCCTGGGCTTTGCCATAAAAGCTGCATCATAGATTCATATATCATATATATTTTTATGCAGTCGCTGTTTTTAAGTACCCTAAAACCCAAATTTATCTCAATATATGGAAAATCAGTTTTGCCTAAACAGTTCTGAAACCATCGGATTTTCATAAATTTGACTATGCTCTGCATGCTTATTTCATTCCAAACTATAACTAAAATAGTTTTATTCTTATGACAAACAAGTTATTTCTCAATCCGTTTGAACAATAGAAAACCACTTTAAAATCTTTTTCAAAAGAAAAAAAAAAACATAAAAACCACTTTAAAATCTTTTTCAAGAGAAAAAACCAGCATACATCAACAGTGTCGTACATGAACTATTGTTTTTCATGCATAATAATAGGCAATCATATAATGAAACTAATATCTAAGAGCGAGTGTGAGTGTGTGTTCCCCTACTTTGATTCGAAAAGCATTTTCATCAAAGCACGCTGTAGTTATTCTCCTATTGCCAACTGTGCAGCATGTTAGTTTCCTACAGCATTTGTTACTGTTTTAACAGGGCGTACTAAAAGCTGATACATTATTTTATATTCATCCCTTGCTTATAAGGTTTGGTGTGATTAAAGTTCTATAGGTCTGATGGTGTTACAGACATTATAAAAGGTAAATGATAGACTAAGTATTGAGCTTAAAGGAATCCTTTGAGTGGAGCATAAAAATGAATGCCAGTTGTTGGGAGGGTGTAAGAGTGCAGCTAGGAGAGACGGAATTTAAAACTTTTTTCTCCAAGCTAAATTATGTTAAATAGAAATGGTGAGGGAAACAATCAAACAACTTTGGATATTATGATAGTGCATCTGGAATTCTAAAAAATGCAACTCTGTTATAAATTCATACAATGTCTTGGTTTCTACTTCTGGTACTTATCTCTCTGGATCTTGCTTTTTTAATAGGATTTAGAGAAAGCTATTGCAGATTCATATCCCAACTCTATAAAGAAAATTGAGCCCATTATAAAGAAGGTAAGTGATGGAAATCCTTGATGCTATTATTCTAATAACATTAAGTGATATTATATCTTCTCATTCAATTTGGACATCAGATTGCTAATTATCAAGCTCCAGGGAGATACGTCTTGAAATCAGGAGTGGAGTTAGAAAGCTTAAAGAAACCTGTGTCTGAAAGTGGAAGGTAATCTACTTTTTGTCCAAAGGCGTACTCTGTATGATCAAGTCAAATAGTGGCAAACAAGTTTTCCCGTTACTCATGCTTTAACTAAAGGCTTACTCTGCATGATCAAGTCAATTGGTGGCAAACATGTTGTCCGGTTACTCTGTCTTTTAGCTTGTATGGAATCTTGGTCCTCAGGAAATAGATGACTTGACACAATAATAAGCCAAAATATCTAAGAATATAGAAGGAATAAATATATTCCTGATACACAATAGTATTAAAGTTAATTTGTAGAAATATAGAAGGAAAATGGGCATCCTTTAGGCCGTTCAAATTCTCTTTGAGCATGCATAATATCATTGGAGATGCTTTACAAGTTATCTCCTTGGTTTGTCACACAGAATTTATTTATATCGTGTTGCATGCTAACTCCAATCATTCTGATCTGTATTCTAAGTTTTATGAATCTTTGGTTTTTCTGTCTGAATGGTTTTCAATTCTTAATCTGAAAGTTGTAGTTGAGGGTTTTGAATTTTATATCCTTATGCCATCTCTTTTTTTTTTTTTTTTTTTTTTTCTCTATTTAAGGATTTTGGTGCCTTCAAATTTTGTACAATTTGTTCGAGATATTCTGATCCCAAACTACTTTACCTAGGATCATTTAGAATATCTCAAAAGTACATGTTTTTTATTTACTTTGATGGCTCAATCATTACCAATAAAGATCCACGAACTATGGTTTTTGATTATAGTCTGTTGTACTTGTACTTGTATCTGCTTTTGTAAAAACTGATTAACAGTGGATTGAGCAAGGGTTTTCTACTATATATATTGATGCAAGTTATATCACGGTGTATTATATTTTGATCACTCTTGTTGGTCTCTGTCTGTCATAATGTGCATTTGTTTATTCTCAGTTCTCCCGAGGATAAACTTTGCCAGAAACCTGCTCCTGGTGGTAACCGTGAATTGCCTGTTCAAGCACCACACTTTGAGGAGAAAGTTTCTCCTAATGAGTTGGAGGAGCAGGTTCACGAACGATTGGATGCTACAGTAGGTCAGGATTCAAGTGCATTGATTAAAATTGATTACCAACAGCATTCCCCTGATTTTTGTGGTGAAAAAAGGGGCCCCGACGATAATGAAGCACGAGGAGGAAGCTCTAGCGATACTGGGAGTGCCAGTGACAGTGATAGTGACAGCAGTGATACCGGAAGTGACAGTGGAAGTCATAGCAGAAGCAAAAGTTCAGCACGAAATGGGAGTGGAAGTAGTAGTGATAGTGAAAGTGATGCATCTTCTAATAGCAAGGAAGGTTTTGATGAGGATGTGGATATTATGGCAAGTGACGATGAGAAAGAACTGAAACATAAATTGCAAGGCTCTGAACGAGGGTTTTCTACTTTGCCCGTCCCATGGAGAACTCCTGACGGCAAGCATGTGCAGAGTGGGATTGATGAGAAGCAAGATGATCTTGAAGTTGACGCAGTTGAGATTGAAAAACAGTTGCTTGATGCTGATCAGGTTGCTGAATTGGCTGTAGTTAGTAACTCTAATCGTAATAAAAGTGAACCTCTTGAAGAAACAAAACCCTTTTCACCTGAGCATGGTGAGCTGCAAGGCCGCCAAAGTTTGGTAGACCCTGTGTATGGAGGGGAGAGTTTAGCCAAGGATGACTTCAGGGATGAGCAGTCTGACAGTTCTGAGAAGATATCTAAAGGTACATCCAAACGAGGTTCTGAGGTAAAGCACACTGATGAGAAATCTGAACACAATAAAAGATTAAAAACAGAAATATCACGGCAATCTTCTATTTCTGCGGGTAAAGGTGTCCATCTTTCAGAGGCTTCTCACAATTTGTCTCCTGATAGACTTGTTGAAGGCTCTCATAAGGACCCTGTCTCTCAAATGATGGATAGAGATGATAGGGATGGGAATATTGAATCTGGATCACTCAAGGCGTGCAACCAAGCATTTTCTGGCAGATACACTTCAGAGTTTAAACAATCAAGTCAGCAGTTTTTTTATCATAATTTACAGACAAAGGTTCCTGATTCAGCAGAAAGACCAGATAGATATGCAGAGAGTTTAGGGCACGGCAGGAAGTACTCTGAAAAGAGCTCTCAAATGCATGACGGTTTCCTCTTGCAAAAAGATAAATTTCATAGAGATACTCAAAATGAGGACGGTTATGCTAATGAGAGAAAGGTTCCAAGAAATTCTAAGGAAGGTGGTACCCGAGGCAAACAGTCAGTGCCCTTGGATCCCCACTACCAGAAAGATGGTGATATGGCTGGAAAGATCAAGGGAAGTGCACAAGTTTCCAGCCTGTTACTGGGTTCTTCACCAAAGGATAATAGCAGAAATGGTGCAGCCGCATCCCATGTCGTTAATGGCAAAGGCAGTATACTCCAAAGAGAGTTTTCAGACTTGGAGTTGGGCGAACTTCGTGAGCCCTTGCCTGAGGAAACAACAGTTAATAAGCAATTTGAGAGAAAAGGTTCTTTTAAGCAGTCAGATGACAAAAAGAGCATTTCAGAGAACCAGGTTTCTGAATTCAGTAAAGTGAAACGTGCAGGAAAGGAAAATTTTGATTCGGGAAGGCCATCCTCTCCAGATTTAAACTCTAAGTTTCCAAGTAATCAGGAAGGCTTGAATAAAAAGAGGAACTACGAAGATCGCATTGAGGATTTAACAAGGTCTCAACAGAGAGCTGTGCAGTCTGAGTCGCAACACCCATCACGAGTAGATCATCCTGATTTGGGGCGTTCGTTTAGCAAAACAGTGGGTCTTAGTAGTAAATCTAGACAGAATGAAGCTGGAGGCAGACAAGCAATTGGTGTGGCTGGACAGGGAGAAAGCAATAAGAAAGCAATCCCAAGTGCTCCTCAGCAGCATGACTCAAAACGAGGGCTAGTTTCCCACCCCATACAAGAAAGTAAAAGACATGCATCCAATATAATTGTGGATTCGACTGATGTACGAAAGAAATCAATGGTGGCAGACTGCAATGACACTGATAGAAAAAAGAGGGATTCTTCTTCAGATGAGAATAGTTGTTCCTATTCTAAGTATGAGAAGAATGAGCCCGAGCTCAAGGGACCAATAAATAATCTCTCTCAGTAAGTGAACATATTCAAGCTTTTACAATAGTGAAAACCATCTGACCAGGCTTTGGCCGTGTTGTATTTAATCCTGGTTTTTGACGTCTGAATTACATTATACTTTTTCCTTTTCTTATCTTAGGTACGAAGAGTATGTGCAAGAATATCGTGATAAGTATGATAGCTATTGCTCGTTGAACAAAACCCTAGAGAGTTACAGGTAATTTGAAGATTCCTTTCACTTCTTTGAAGGCAATGCTGTTTCACTTTTTAATACTTGTTTGATTAATTGCTTTGTGTTGATTTTATCCAGAATTGTGTCTCAAAACAATTTATTCCTTCTAATGTAGGAATGAGTTTGAAAAGCTAGGAAAGGACCTTGATTATGTTACTCAAGGCACGGAGAAATATTATAACATATTGGGGCAGGTCAAGGAATCATATCGTGGATGTGAAAAGGTATGCTCTGTTCTCGATTCTTATAAAGTCTGTAGATGATTGAACTGTGAAGTAATTCAGCGAGACATTGTCTCACTGTCTTCTTGGTCAGATGTAATAGTTTGATTATGCAATTTCAGTTGTACTTACTTTTGTTTTCATGATTCCCCTTGCCCAGTGTTGTTTTGCATGCATTCCAATTTGGCTTGAATAAACATACAAGTGAAAATTTTATAGATGAACGGTGCGCTTTGAAGTTCGGTCTACCCAGCCCAACCGATAAGCTCAGTAGTGCATGTGTTTGGATTAATCTGTATTTGATGAATAAGGAAAATTTTGGGACAAATACTATAATCATATATAAATAGCTAACATTGTGTTGCTAGTGATGTGGTAACTATTATTTGAAAAAAGAATTTAGATTCTTATATTATTTTTCATTGTGTTTTGATTTTCAGGAGTATTAACAATACATAAAATGTTTCAGAATTTTTTTTTCTTGATTTTGTTTAATTTTTCTTTCTCTAATAACTAATGTTATCTTGTTGAGCTTTTCGGTTTGAGTCAAATAATATCGTCGCTTGCAGAAACATAAGAGGCTGAAAAGAATATTTGTGGTACTTCATGAAGAATTGAAGGTGATTCGTTCTTTCCTCGTCGTAGTTGGAGTTTGTCATAGAAATTATCTACGTTGCACTTACCATTTAAGTTTTAAACTTTTTGTGCGAGTGTTGTGAATATTTTCGTGTCTTCCTGCAGCGCATTAAGCAACGCATTAAGGACTTTGCAATCTCATACATGGAGGACTGAAACCTCGTCTTTCAGGCCCGAGGGTGTGATTAGGAAGCTAGATGTTGAAAACAGCACAACAGAGTCCTCTTGCTTAACTCATGTCACGTTGAGAGCATGTTCGCAGTTTTGCCGTGCCCGCGCAACCAGTATACACGTAAATAGCACTTAAACTCGTATGTACATTAGTTTTGTATTCAGGTCAAGCTTTCTGTTCTTGTTTTGCCTGATTAGTTCAGCCTATTCAGTTTATTCGGGCTTCTTGACATTGTGCTTCATGTGCATATATTTGTATGAAACCTTTAAGAAAAGGGATGGATTAGTTGTAGGGTCCACTCCACATCGAACTTTAACAATCTATTTTTCAAGTTGCACCTCATAGATCATCCTTACAAAATATTAGCCAAATCAGAAATGTTTAAGACATCAAATTGAGTTAAAAGAAATTAACGAATACTTTGTTATAAAAGAAACAATGAAATTTTATCTTGATAATTATATAGGTAAAGGGATTCGTATTAAATTGAATTTTTGCAAAAATGATCTATGAATCGAAACTTACAAAATAAATGTTTCGGATCGTTAAATATCAATTGTGGTGTGGATCCCACACCTAATTCCCATTTTTTGAAAAAAAATGAGAATCCTTTTGCATAAAGAGCTTGTATATTTATATATCATATCATAACATACAGTGGAACTCAAAGAGTTAATCAAATAAGACAAAATCATTGACACGATGCACATAATTGACAATGTGTACAAGTCTTGTAATGGATCATTTATAATAATTAAGTACGAAACTCACCATATATGTGACTGTTGAATTTCACTTTACCGTGCTTATCTAAACTTCGGGACTGTTACTTATAGTGTGATTACAGTGCAATTTTTGGTTCATGAAATGAAACAACCATGTAGTCACATGTAGAACAAAGAATTATGCCATCGGCGAAAATTGTCAAGTTGAAGAGAAAGCCTTCTTAATAATACAAGGAAAATGGGTGTCTAAAGAAAATGAAAAATAGGTGCTTGAGAGAAAAATAAATTCATAAAAAGTAAAAGAAGGGTATACTTGGAAGTTTAGTAAATTACTAGAAATATGGCCCACGCGTTGCTGCAGGATTAGTAACCATATGGAAAAAAATATATATATATTTCAAAGCTATAAGAGATTATTAAAGAAGGTTCACGTGTATTTACATTGAAAAATGTTTGAGCTTTTTGAAAGAATTTTTACATAAAGAGCAAAAATTGGATGAATGAAACTCTTGGAATCCCTCGAACCATTCTATGAATAGCATGACCTGTAAGTGATTGATAGTGTAACAAAAATTAGTAAAAGAGAGTGTAAGAGTATATTATATGAAACTATATTATTGGAACCACTTTATGGAAAGTTGTAGTGCTAAGATATACTCGGTTATAGTTTCAAAACTAATAAAAGAATGCAAGACAGAATATATACAGAAAAAAGTAAAAACTATTTAGTTTGCAAGATATGAACGATTCAGCTTGCAGAAAATATGGGGAGTGACTGAGAAAAGGGAGCACTAAATTAACTGTTTTTCCTTTCCTTCCCTTTGCTCGATGCATAAACAGTAGAGTAGCTCTAGTTTTTCAGTTTTTTTCATGCCATTCTTCATGCCAAGTCAAGATCAACAACTAAATTTATAACATGCATGTAAATAATACTAGGAAAATTTCCACTTCATTATACATGCATATTATTTTCTTAGTTCATACATGAATTTGACATTATCTCTTTCAAAACCAGCAACCAAAATCACTTCTCAAAGAGATTATAAATAGAAGAGAGTGGAAGCTTACCCAAAGCCAATTTCGAGTAGTAGTGTGGTGCTACATTCTCCATTTTCTTATTTTCAGATCCCAACAATCTCTGCAATTAAATGTTAGAGTTGGGTTCCATTGGTCTTTCAAAATATCCAGACAAATTGCTCCATTTTGACCGCTAATATTAGGGTGCCTTCAACATATGAGATACATACACACAAAAAAAACATTATTAGTGATCCCGATGAATATCGTTTCTCCTTCAGCAGTCCCTAGAATCTTACACAGTGGCACTTGGCTGTTTCTCCTACTTTACAAACTGGTTTTTTTTTTTTTTTATCTTTAAAGCACATTCAGCTGATAAATATATTCTTCACAAAAATTATGCAATACAAATGCACATGAAGTGCTAATAATCTTCATAAAAAGGCTAGTTACATTTCTTCACAACTTGAGTGATCTCTCAAATAAATGATGGATGAGATTAAGTTTATCACTTTCACATTTACATTTGCCCACAATTTAAGTGTTATATTTAAACTCCAAACGATGCATAGGTTATCATGCCGTTACACTAAAATTCACATCCAATAAGAGTATAAATACACCTAATTGGTAATATCTTGAGAGAGAGAGATACCTGGCAATGGGCCGACTTGCAATGAACTAAAGAACTTGATTTTTTTTCTTATGCTTACATCACCACCTTCAAGAAATACATCAATCAGTAAAATCAGAAGTGATAACACAAGAGAAAATCCCAGATAAAGTTCTCATTCACAGTGAAATTATTAGTATTGCACTCAAATATTTTGTGATAAGCAGATAATGGTTTAAACAATATTATATCAATCATCATTCTAATAAAGAGAATATGTTACTTGTCCAAAACTACTAATCTGGATCACGGCTCAAAACTAATTGTCAAAACCTTTCATAATAGTAAATTATTGTTCTTTTTTAATATTCCGAATAATTGGATACACAATCCTTTTATAGCTTTATATATGGATACTTGACCCTCATTAGTCTTATATACTCCCCTCGTGGCCATGAGACTTTTTGATGAGCGCATTAGACAGAAGGGCATGTAGAAAAAGGTATGTAGGCTAAAAAATATATTTGTTATTGATACGTGAATGTGGAAAAATGGAAGAGAATGCTTTTTTTCTCATTATCTTTCTCTACAAGATTACAAGGATATATATACATGATACAAGTGTGTAGGTAGGACAAGGTAGCCGTCCTAGTGTGTAGGTAGGACAAGGTAGGATGGCTGTAGGACGACTTGACGGCTGTAGGACGGCTAGTGTGTAGGTAGGACAAGGTAGGACGGCTGTAGGACGACTTGACAGCTGTAGGACGGCTAAGGTAGGACGGCTGTAGGACGACTTGACGGCTGTAGGACGGCTAGTGTGTAGGTAGGACAAGGTAGGACGACTTGACGGCGGTAGGACGGCTAGTGAATAATATTATATACAATTACACAAGGACTCCAACCATATTCCTTATTTGTCTAACACTCCCCCTCAAGTTGGAGAGTGGATGTCAAGAACTCCCAACTTGCGTAACATACCCGAAAACTTTTCTTTCCCAAGAGGTTTGGTAAACAAGTCTGCCAACTGTTGTGCCGTACCCACATGCTTGGTCTCTATTGTGCCATCTACAATCTTATCTCGTATAAAGTGACAATCCATCTCAATGTGACGAGTTCGTTCATGAAAAACAGGATTGGCAGCTATATGTAACGCTGCTTGATTATCACAAAATAAAATGGAAGGACCATCCAAAGGAATGTTCAAATCCTTCAACAAAAAACGAAGCCAAACTATCTTTCAACAAGCACCTGCCATGGTCCTATATTCCGCCTCTGCTGAAGAGAGCGAAACGGTTTTCTGTCGTTTCATCCGCCAAGAAATCAAAGAACCGCCCAAGAATACACAATACCCAGTAGTCGAACGGCGAGTGATAGGGCAACCTGCCCAATCAGAATCACAAAACGCAGTTAACTTGGTCTGGTTGTCAGAACGAAATAATAAACCTTGACCTGGAGTAGCCTTCAAATAACGAACAATACGAAGCGCAGCATCCATATGAGATATCCTTGGCTCGTGCATAAAACAGCTTAGAACATGCACATAATAGGTGATATCCGGCCGAGTGATAGTGAGATATATTAACCGACCTACTAATCGTCGATACTTTTCAGGATCCTTGAGAAGTTCTCCTTTATCAGATAATTTTGTGTCATCCATAGGAAAAGCAATGGGTCGTGCTCCCAAAAAACCATAGTCCTTGAGAATCTCTAATGCATACTTGCGTTGAGAAATATAAATCCCTTGTTTGGAACGCGAAACCTCAATACTCAAAAAATATTTTAAATCACCAAGGTCTTTTATCCGAAAATGATCACGGAGAAAAGACTTCAGAGAATTAATGGCACTAGCATCATTGCCTGTAATCACAATATCATCCACATAAATGAGCAAAGCTGTGAAAGAAATACCAGACTTTTTAGTGAACAATGAATAGTCAGCTTTGGATTGTTGAAAACCGGCAGAAATGATGGCACTAGTGAATTTGGCAAACCATTGGCGAGAAGCATGCTTAAGACCATAAAGTGACTTGTGAAGGCGACACACAAGATTCTCCCCCCTGTCGCCGAAGACCAGGAGGAGGAGACATATAGATTTCTTCATGTAAGTCACCATGTAAGAAAGCATTATTAACATCAAGCTGATGAAGAGACCAAGACTGACTAGCAGCAAGAGCAAGAAGACAACGCACCGTAATCATCTTAGCAGTAGGAGAAAAAGTGTCATGATAATCAATACCTTCAACCTGAGTGAAGCCTTTAGCAACCAAACGAGCTTTGTAGCGGTCAATAGAGCCGTCGGAATTGTGCTTGAGTTTGTACACCCACTTACAACCAATGGGAATTTTGCCAGGGGGCAAGGAAGTTAAAGTCCAAGTACCATTAGCATGTAAAGCTTGAAGCTCCTCAGTCATAGCACGTTGCCAATTGAGATCAGTGGCAGCCTCGGCAAAAGAGGAAGGCTCCACAGTCCGACTGACAGAGTTAATGTAAGAAAAATGTCTGGGAGAGTAACGGTGATAAGAGAGAAAATTACAAAGTGGATATCGCGTACCTTGTGTAGAACCGGGTTGCGAAGTCGAAGATGGGTGGGATGGCAGAATCACCTGCGAGCAAACGTAGTCTTTTAAATAGGATGGAGGTTTATGGGCACAGGAAGAGGTACGGGGAAGGGGAGGATTGGTAGGTAGTGGGGGGGATAGGGATGTCCGTGGCTAAAGGGGCATGGGGAGGAACGGGTAATGGGGCAGCAAGGGAATCTGTGAGAGGCGTGGAAGGGGAGGAAGGTGGAGGAGGGTGAGGCATCGGGGCAGGAAAAGGTGGGTTATATGTAAAGTCCAGAGGGGGTGGGATGGGTAGGGTAGGCGAAGAGGATGGGATAGGAGGGTGAGAAACGGCATAAGGGAAAGTAGTTTCATGAAAGATGACGTCTCGACTAGTGAAAATGCGGTGATTGTCGAGATCGTAAAGGGTATAGGCCTTTTGTCCATGAGGATAACCGAGAAAAATGCAACGATGAGCCCGAGGGGAAAATTTGGTGGTGGGAGTGACAGAGGTAGCATATGCCAGACAACCAAAGACGCGGAAGTGGTCATAAGATGGGGTTTTCGAAAAGAGAACCTCAAATGGGGATTTATGATGGAGAAGATGGGTAGGGAGACGATTGATGAGATAAGTAGCGGTAAGAACACATTCCCCCCAAAACTTGATACGAAGATGGGATTGAAAACGAAGGGCGCGAGCGGTTTCAAGAAGATGACAATGTTTTCTTTCAACAACGCCATTTTGTTGGGGGGTATAAACACAAGAAGTTTGTAAAAGCACCCCATGATCAGAGAAAAAACTATGAAGAGATAAAAATTCACCACCATTGTCAGTACGAATGCATTGGATGGTAGTGCGGAATTGGGTAGTGACATAAGCAAAAAAATCCTTAATTAATTGTTGAGTGTCGGATTTATGTTTCATGAGGAACACCCACGTAAAGTGAGAAAAATCATCCACAATGGTTAAGAAATAATGAGCACCAGAAAGAGAAGATTGACGATTCGGGCCCCAAATATCACAATGAATTAAAGCAAAAGGGAAAGTTGATGAAATTGAACTCAAAAGAAAAGGTTGACGAGTTTGTTTTGCCAACGGACAAACATCACAAATATGACTAGAATCAAAAGTACAATTAAGAGAGCTAGATGCTAAAGCTTGCAAACGAGTGGAGGAGGGGTGACCAAGACGCCTATGCCAGAGGGAGGAGGGGATGGTAATGATGTTGCAGAGAGGTTGACGGGTGGGGAGAGAAGAGGTAAGGGCCACAAGGTAATACAGATCGCCACATCGCTTACCCACACCAATCATCGCCTTCGAAATCAAGTCCTGCAAAACACACCAAGAAGGAAAGAAGGTTATGAAACACGATAATCCATCTGAATGTTTACCAACCGATAAAAGGTCCACTCGGAAATTAGGGACACATAAAACATCCTTCAAAGTAACTGATGAATTTAAAGCAAGAGTGCCGGTAAAAGTAATGAGAGCGGAAGCACCACTAGGCAAAGAAACAGGCGCCAAATGTGAAGGAGAACGATTAACCAAACATGAGGCGGAAGAAGTAATATGATCCGTAGCACCACTGTCAAGAATCCATTGACCATGACGAGAGGTGACAGGTAACAAACCTTGGGCAAAATCAGTAGTGGGCACGGCATTGGCCTGAGGAGGGGTGGTGGTGTCACGTAGAGCAGCTAGAACACGGGAGTGCTGCTCGGCAGAGAGGTCAGGCATGGCAAGCTGCAAGTCATGCAAAGTGGGCTGGGCCCCGTGCACTTGGTGGGTCGCTGGAGTAGAAGAGGAGGCGGGGGCCTGGGTGCCTTGCACGTGATGGGCCTGGGTGAAATTATGGGGCCGGGAAGCAGAAAACCGTGGCTGCCGGGGAGGACTGGAAGGTGCATGGCTGTGGGAAGAACTGGAAGCAGTGGCACGGCGCGGTGGTCGCCACGGTTGGCCATGGAGGGGATGGCCAACAGGATAGCCATGAAGTTTATGGCAGGTGTCTCGGGTATGATAATCAAAATTGTAGTAGGTGCAGTGGAGGGGAGGACGAGCAGAGGAGGGACGGGATGGGCCACGTGTTGGAAGTATGCCCACAAAGCCACTCATTTGATGTAATAGCTTTTTGGAATACTTATTGTGTTAAACTTTTATATGTTTAATAGAAAGGCAAAGCTTATTGTTAATCACTATTTATAGTATCTTGTGTTTAAGCAATAAGGGAATCCAAGGAATGTATTTGATCTAAGAGACAAGTGATTTAAGTTAGTTAAATTAACGAGACCTTTCTCTTATGTTCATTCCTAAAACGTTCCTAGCCATAGGATTGCCAATTGGGCATTGACAATCCGCTAAGGTTAGCATGTGTTATGTCGACTCAAGCGTGAGTATGAACTAGTCTCAAGTCATTTGGTGTTGGACACTAAGGCAAACACATAGGTGCTCGAAAGAGTAATCGAGTACACTGAACAACGATCAAACAAGAGTTCGAACATACATGTCATGTGAGAACTCAATAGTTGCAATATGCAAAGTAGTCCTTTGACCTGAGGATCATTGATGTCTAATGGTTAGGTCCTTGATCTTTGATTATGTCAACGGCATTCCATTGGAGTGTCCACGGCATTGTTGGGGTCAAGCTATCTAGTCATGTAGGCATATGAATGTACAACAAGGGATCTCTAACCTTCCATGATGGAAGGAGAATACTCTAAGATATGATTCGAGAGTCTTTGGCCAAAGCATATGAATATAACTAAGGAAGATGTTCCAAATCTTATTCAATTGAATCATATAGAGAAGTATCACATTGGATAGTAGACATGAAACAAACTATCACTTAAACAATGTGATTAAGAGTATTGTATTAGAGAATGACCGTATTGCATTGTAGTTGTAACTGGATAGGTTCTCCAACCACTTCTACTTAGCTTGGGTAACCATGACATGCTGCTAGGCGTCACCCATGGTTTGTGGAAGCCCTAAAGATTAGCAAACACTAATTTAAGGGAGAATTGAAATGTGGTTTCAATTCACAATCGATTGTTAAGAGTAACATCGCCCACTACCTCGCTAATTGGAACCTAATGGATCGTACACCGAGTAAAGATATAAGTGAAGAAATTATATGAAATGGATAAGCAATTAAATGGTTTAATTGAAGAATGGTCAAGATTAATTAAATAGTTAATTAATTATACGAAACGTTCGTATTGGGCGTTTAAGTTAGTTTTGGGCTTCGGGGCATAAAAACGTTTTGGTCCACAAGGCCCATTATGTTTAAGTTGTATGACAACTAAAACAAAATGGGCAATTAAGCCCAAATACAACATATGGCCGGCCATAAGCTTCAAGGGTAGTGAACTTGGCTTAATTGCAAGTTTGCCACTCCATTGTGAGGTGGTATAAAGACATCTTTATAGCCATTTCACCCTAAGGGTTTCTAATTGAATTTGGGTGAAACCTATTCTCTCATTTTCACCTTAGGGGAGGAACATCTAGTAATCTTTCTTCCCTAAGTCATCCATTTCATCTTCACACAACATCTTTGGTGTGGAGACTTAGAGACACCAAACTTTTGGTGTTTTGGAGAACAAATCCTCAAATCCTCAAAGAAGAAAAAGGAGCACTAAAAGGGAGAAAATCACAAGGAAGATCCAAGGAGCAAGGAGGTGACTTGAAGGCCCTCCACTTGGGTGAATCCCTTGTGCAATCAAGGATGAGCTTCAAGGGTAAAGAATCTCTAAATTCTTATTCTCTTTAATTTTGTTAAAGAGTCTTATGGTTCACCATATACTAGGCTTTGAAAGTCATGGGTTTTATAAATTGTTTTTTAATGCATGCCTACTTTAAAGTGTTATTAGTTTGCATATGTATTCAAATGTTCTTACATGTTCTTAGCTAGGACAAAATTTTTCCTTCACCACGAACAGCCATGGCAGCAGGTTGATCGACAGAGCGGAGGACGCCCAAGGAGCGTTGTTTTTCAGCTTGAGACACCGAGAAACAGGCCTGACGAACAGTGGGAAGGGGATTCATTAAAAGAATTTGGTCACGAACAGCAGCAAAGGATTCGTTGAGGCCTATTAAAAATTGCATGAGTTGTTGACGGTCATGCTTCGCGTTGCAAGAGCACGTGCAGCCATCATTATAAGAAGCAAGCTCATCCCAGAGAGCTTTCAGGCGAGTAAAATAGGCGGAGATAGAAGAAGAACCTTGAGAAATTGTAGCAAGTTCCCGGTTGAGTTGGAAGATGCGTGGAGCATTACTCTGAGAGAAGCGTTCGCGAAGATCATCCCATACAGCTTGGACAGAGGTGGAAAAAAGCACAGATTCTTGAAAGTCAGGTTCCAAGGAATGCAGAAGCCAAGAGAGAATCATGTCATTGCAACGACACCAAGCCGCGTGAGCATCAGGGTCGTCGGAGGAAGAAGGTTCTTGGATATCGCCAGTGATGAAACCAAGTTTATTCTTGGCACTCAAGGAAAGCTGCATGCCACGGGCCCAGGATGTGTAGGTATCACCATTCAACTTCTTGGATACAAGGACAAGATTCGGGTGGTCGGAATGATGAAGGGAAAAAACACCATCGGAAGAAGAAGAGTCAGCCATGGGAACGGCAGAGAAAGCTGCCGAAAAAAAAATTAGGGCTAGGGTTATAAACCTGCTCTGATACCATGTAGAAAAAGGTATGTAGGCTAAAAAATATATTTGTTATTAATACGTGAATGTAGAAAAATGGAAGAGAATGCTTTTTTTCTCATTATCTTTCTCTACAAGATTACAAGGATATATATACATGATACAAGTGTGTAGGTAGGACAAGGTAGCCATCCTAGTGTGTAGGTAGGACAAGGTAGGACGGCTGTAGGACGGCTTGACGGCTGTAGGACGGCTTGACGGCTGTAGGACGGCTAGTGTGTAGGTAGGACAAGGTAGGACGGCTGTAGGACGGCTAGTGAATAATATTATATACAATTACACAAGGACTCCAACCATATTCCTTATTTGTCTAACAGGGCAAGCTTTGAGTATTCAAAAGTTTTTCAATTTCTCAGTTTGCTCTAGACCTCATGATATGCCAATAATAGTTAAAGATGAATGAACAAAATAACAAAGATGGGTTACAACCAAAGGACAACTGAAATAGAGAAACGAAGAACGAAAACCATAAATGGAACCCAAACACAAAGAGAGTGAGAGAGTTAAACCCAAAAGCTTAACCCAATCTCATTTGCATACCATTTGACCATATTAAGAAAAATATGAAATTTGCACCCCCATTTGACCATATTAAGGATAGGGCACTCAGACATTGCAGTAGTAGTATCCTTTGGTATGCTTTTCCTCAAAAGTGCCATTAAAAAACCTATAAAGCATAAAAATTTAGAAACAGAAAAGAAACGGTTCGAAATTGCCATTAGAAACACACAATGTACAGAGGGAAACCAAATCAAATTATTATGCCCTTTATTTCCCAACTTCATCAAAACAACCAAGAAGTATAATTCAGCAAGGTTAATTTCTCACTTTCTTTAATGAAAATGAATTCTACTTCTTCTCATCTATTTGTTCTTCGTTTTTATGGGTTTTTGTGTGCCGCTTTTGAAGCGCTTTATGCTCAAGGTAAATAATTACAGTTTTTTTCTTTGAGCCTTTTCTCCAACAAAAACAAAATTCCAAAAAACGAAGAGCAACATGTGCTGAAACGAAAAACAGAAGCAAATCACCCAAAATTACAACGGATCATTTTATATTTTCTAGATAAATCACATTCCCTATTACCATGTATCATAAATATTCAAATTTATACCATCCTAATTCCACATAAGACAATACACAAACCTTCAGAGAGATGTCAGCGGATGGTCAAAAGTTAGGTTTCGTGTTGCAGCAACGACTCCTGCTGCTGTTCATAGATCACTGCAAGACAACAGAGAGTTGTATATTGCTACACTACATGTATTGAATCAATTCCAAAAGGGTATTTACAGTAAAAAAGAAGCTCTACATACCTTTTCTTGGAATGCCAGCCCCATACTTATTCGCTTAAGCGTTAACAGTAGCTATAGCCTGTAAAAATAGAAAATCAACTTTTTACCTACATCATCATAGAATGGCAGCCACGAATCTTCCACTGCCTATAAATTCCACAGCTGCCTTACCCTTTGCCGCACACGAATCATCCTAATAAAATCAATCAAATAAAATAAAACAAAAAATTCATCAACTTCTTGCTTCTAATTCCGTAATACCTATCAAAATTACCAGATCAAAAAATTGAAATAAATAGCTTACTTCAACAGTGAATCGGCAGCAGAACTTGAATATCTCGTGGTTTTCGGGTTTTGGTGCAGGCAATGGCCAGTGTTTTCTAGAACCAGATGCAAAAGCTATTTTCCATTCCCTCCTAATCCACGATGACAACACGTGTACACCTAAGCAAAAGGAGCGCTGATGACGATGCTACGTGGAAAGAGATCAAGCAGGGCCATATTCGCCATTTCACTGTTGATGAACAGTGCACTCTCTCACAAAATGAACTGTGATTTTCCGATGCCTTTCAGTATATGTATAATTTTGGATGTCTAGAGTAAATTGGGTGTACACAAAAGCGCTCATGTTTTATTTTCTTTGATTTATTAAGTTGTTTTGGTTGTCCTAAAAAAGAATAGGAAAAAAAGAAGCAGAAATTATTTAGCTATTGTTCCGTACCATTATGGACGAAGACTCGGGTAAAACTTTCACATCTCTCTCTAGATATCTTTAGATAGAGAGAGAGAGAGAGAGAGAGAGAGAGAGAGAGAGATCCGCTGCACAAGAAACCCTATTGTGCGTTACATGTGCTCGACATGCCGCACTCCATCTTTCTTCCCAACGAGCCCATTTTTCTCAAAGAGTTGTATATTCTTCTTGCTGATCAACGATTATTACAATATTGGGTAACCCCGTCATATATTTAATTCCACCGAGATATGTTTCACTAAAAAACATTAATTAGCAAGATAGAAGTGTACCGAAAAGTTGCAAAAAAGAGTATTAACAACACTTGATGTTTAGTTAAAGGGTTCTAAGACACAACACACAAAAACCAAATCTTCATCATTGTGTTGTAAGGTATCCTAAGACACAACACACAAAAACAAAAACGACTCTAAAAACAACTCTTTTTGTGTTTTTCAAACACTCTTTTTCAATTTTTGTTTTTCAAATTTTCAGATTTTCTGTTATAGGAAACATTAAAACACTTCAAACACACTAAAAACACTTAAAAATAATGAGTAACAACTTTAGAAGTGATAGGTGATAAAATTCCACGAAAATCAATGAAAATCATTTGTTTACCCCCCACATTTAAATCAAGCATTGTCCTCAATGTTTCAAACATAGACTCACATGCAAACAATCAAACACACAACTAACAAACATGACAATTATGGCAAAGTAAAAGCAATAAAGAGTAGGGTAAAAGAGAGCAAATCTGGTTTTGGAGCCAAAGATTCCTAGGTCTTCTTTATTTGAATAAATGGGTTGCCTCCCAAAAAGCGCTTGCTTTAACATCTTCCAGTTGGACGATACCTCCTTTTAAGCTCCATTAGTGCCCACGGCATGGAATTGATCTTTGAATGGGAGGTGATACTTGAAATGATCCAGTAATTGTTTAAATTCTAGAGTGGGTGACTAAATCATTAACAACATATTAGTATAAAACAAAATTGAAATTCGGGGAGGTGGCTTACTTGTGTGCTCCGACATGAACTCAAGAATAAACACCCCTTCGAAAGTTGTAGGACTAGAAAATTTAGCCTGATTTGGTGTTTTGACAGTTATGACTTGTCCCGTGTCATAAAATCCAACTTCTTTGGGAATTGTTGTCTCAAGTATATCTTCTTTGATGAATTCTAGACATTCCCCAGCCACTTCTTTCTCTTGAATTATTCTTCTTGTTGTACAAAGTTCTTTGGACAATTCAACACATTCTGGAACTTGATTTCTTTGCACCTTTGGAAGGGCTTCCAAGATGTCTTTTTCACTCTCTTCTTCCCTGGAAATCATGAACCTGCACAGAATAGGGACATTTGGTGGAATGGGGTTAGGAAGAATTGAACTTGGAACAACCTTACCTGAATTGGATGGCGTATGAGCCTTAGAAGGTTGCGGCAAGGGTGGTGCTACCCTTGCCATGGCTTTGGCATCCTCCTCTTCCTCGAGCAGCAACTTTTCATCCACGTTCAAGCTATGTTTGGATGTTTTTGGGTCAGCTCCAACCTCTATACTACTTCCCAAGGTGATAGTTTCAGTGATTTCACAATCTCCCATTGAATTTACAATAGTTGAGTTGGAGAGTTCACTTTGTTCTTGAATTTGCCCCATGAATTCTGCGATTTGCCCCATTTTATTTTCTTTGATTTATTAAGTTGCATAAAACAAGCTAACAAAGTCACATAAATATGCTCCTATCACACAAAACCACTCATGTTTTATTTTCTTTGATTTATTAAGTTGTTTTGGTTGTCCTAAAAAATAATAGGAAAAAAAGAAGAAGAAATTATTTAGCTATTGTTCCGTACCATTATGGACGAAGATTCAAGTAAAACTTTCACATCTCTCTCTAGATATCTTTAGATAGAGAGAGAGATCTGCTGTGCGAGCAACCCGACTATCTGTTACATGTGCTCTACAGGCCGCACCCCATCTTTCTTCCCAACAAGCCCATTTTTCTCGAAGAGCTATATATTCTTCTTGCTGATCAACAATTATTACAATATCGGGTAACCTCGTCATATATTTAATTCCACCGAGATATGTTTCACTAAAAAACATTAATTAGCAAGATAGAAGTGTACCAAAAAGGTGCAAAAAAGAGTATTAACAACACTTGATGTTTACAATGGTTAAAGGGTTCATTGTTTACATTATTACCCTTATGACCAAACAAAAAAGTTTACACTGCCCTTATCTTATCTAAGACCCATCCCGTCTCTAGACATTTAAAACCCAAAAGGCTGTTGCAGTGGAGGCAAGCAAGAGCAACAAAACTTCAACCTTCTTCCAGCTACCAAACTTGTAGATCCCACTGAAAAACCCCAAAAATCGTCGCAAAACATTTTCATTCAACAGAACTTATGGACCACCAACTTGTTTTGGTTTGCACCCTTACCATAAGCACTCAAACCCATCCTTTTTTTCTATTTTAACTGCTTTCTTTGTACTAGGTCTTGGGCCAGTGTCAAAATACCTCACTAATGTCCCTCGATTTCATTCATCGTTTCGAGCCTTAACCAGTTCCCTTAAATTTTTTACCAAAACTCCTCCTAGAATCTGTTGTTCTTTTCGATCAAGCTCATTCACCATTTTATTTACCCTAAATCAGAAATTAAGTATAGCATCAATATTGATGTTTTTTTGAAATATCTTGTAGCTTGTAGGTTAAAGAATAACATTATCATAAATGTTTAAAACTCAAATTAATAAAGTAAGTGTATAAGAGCTTGCGAAAGTTAGATAATTATTGAAGAAAACACAATCAAAAAGCATTTCAATAGTGTTGTAGATCAAATTTTGAAGTGATAGCCGACAAAGAAGATAGATAACCTAATTATTTATAAGTTGATGCATCTTGCAGTTTGAATGTAAATATCCATGAATTTTTCTGAACATCTAAGATGCATTCATGCACTGTTAAAAGGCCACTCATTTTCATAAACACAGGTTTTTTTTTTTATATTAAAAAAAAAAATTGATTTGTTGGGAAAGTGCAATTATGAATAGCATATGTTAAAGCACTTCGGGGAGGATGAGACATTTAACTATCGGAGAAACCTAATGAAAACACCAACCAACCAATAACAGAATCACAAAGATAAAATGTCTAACAACATTAATAAAGAATCAAGAACACTGGCGTAAACTAGGATCACAAAGATAGTAAGGGACCTTCAACCTTAACAGAATCGCACATACATAATTAAAAATAAAAATAAAAAAATAAAAAACAAACAAACAAACCAGCCAACCTCTGGACAATCAGAGGATCATAGAGACAACAATAAAAAGAAACAAAGCAGAAACCAAATGAATAATATAAGGCAATCGAATTGAACAATAAATAAAAAATTCGTCAAGTTGCGTTGTCTGAAACGAAAAGCACCAGAAAAGAACTCATTGAAGTTCAAGTGACATACCGAAGCCTTGATTCAAATGCAATGCCTCATAACCCTTAGTTTTAATGGCAGTAGCAACAGTTGATCACGATGTTGTGATGATAGTCTGATCTAATCTGCAAGAAAAACAGCGAGATTTAGAGTAAGAATTCGAAGTGCAAACAAAGAAACGTAGGAAAAGTAACTCAATCTGTAACAATGCAATGGACTCAATCTGTAACAGTGCAACAGACTTAATGTACGACAGAATCACATTTCACAAAAGGAAAGTAACTAATCACGGGAATGTATCATTTGTTAGCATGACTGTATTTGCATTCAACTGTTCCATCTGAGATGATAGATTATCTTTCAAAAAGTTATTGAAACCTTCCAACAAACACAAAAATGTGCTAAAACCAAACATTTATACCACTCATCCCCACCCATAAAATGTATTGAGCCCGTGACATGAAATGTAGTGGAAAAAAGAAAAAGAAAAAAAAAAACCAATCTGGAACATCATTAGTTTTTATATAAGTTTTATCTTCTAGGGGTTCCTTAATCATTGTCATACATTATATGTGACATCCCACATTACCCAGTGGAGTGATCCTTATATGTATATTTCCATCTCTACCTAGCACGAGGCCTTTTAGGAGCTCACTGGCTTCGGGTTCCGTTGGAACTCCGAAGTTAAACGAGTAGTGCGCGAGAGCACTCCCATGATGGATGACCTACTAGGAAGTTCTCGTGTGAGTTCCCAAAAACAAAACCGTGAGGGTGTGCTGGGGGCCTAAAGCGGACAATATCGTGCTACGGTGGAGTCGGGCCCGGGAAGTGGTCTCGCCCGAGCCGGGATGTGACAATTTGGTGTCATAGCCTAACCCTAGCCGTGGTGTTCCGACGAGGACGTTGGGCCCCTAAGGGGGGTGGATTTTGACATCCCACATCGCCTATGGGAGTGATCCTTATATGTATATTCTCATTTCTACCTAGCACGAGACCTTTTGGGAGCTCACTGCCTTCTGGTTCTGTTGGAACTCCGAAGTTAAGCGAGTAGCGTGCGAGAGCACTCCCATAATGGATGACCCACTGGGAAGTTCTCGTGTAAGTTCCCAGAAACAAAACCATGAGGGTGTGCAGGGGTCCTAAAGCGGACAATATCGTGCTACGATGGAGTCGGGCCCGGAAAGTGATCCCGCCCAGGCCAGGATGTGACATTATATATGGAGTAGATATTTTTTTCAACTTTTTTGTAGTTAATTTTCCATTGTATATCTCGGTATCGTTTCGTAAATACTCTTCCTAAGTTTCAAATACCTATCATCAAA